ATTTATTAGAAAAGTCGCTGCTATTGTTGTAACTTAATATTTGCAGAAGAAATCCAATTATGGCCAAGGAGCAGATTAGTCCTTTTTTTAAATCCTCATTTTGTTTGATTAAGATAGATATAATTATAGGAAAGTGCTTTGTGAGTTAGATAAATGGAAGACAATACAAATTTGTTCTGCTGCTAAATGAATGGTTTGAGTTGAACAGGTTGTGTGGCACAGCTGCACTGACTGGTCACCTTTAAAATATATACATCTGTTGAAAGTCAGATCTCTGCTATGTCCCCATTATAAGCATTAAAGGGAGTATCACTGAATCCTTGTAGGAGATCTTACAGAAGGGAAATATGGCATTTATTTACGTTTTAAGCTGATTTTACCTGCCTGCACTTGTTCCCTCAGAGGTTTCATTCACACAAGCAACAGGACGTGGTTGTTCAGTCTTGGCCACGATCACTTATGTGCAACATAGACCACAAGGGATGATGGCTGCCACCAAACCTCCCAGTTTTGGGACAGTTCTTAAATAATCTTTAAGAATCAATAGTTGTTTTCTGATGATCCTCTGCTGCCTGACTGCCAGGAGTGGGAATGGGAGATGTGAAATGCTGCCAACCTCTTCTTGTCAGAGAGGAGGCTCTCCCTCAAATGAGTTGTGTGTGCTGTGTTCTTAGCAGTGGCTCAAATTTTTAGTCTCAAATTTTTTGCTGGCAATGGTGTTTGTTATAAATTCAAGCTGTTCCCATCCTCCCTGCTCTGCTATTTCTTCTTACACTTACATACAGAGATTTTCATTTGTACCAACCCCAGTATTTTGCAAATCTCTGTGCTGATGACTGGTTCCTGCAGATCCCAGCTCTGTTTTTGAAGAGCCTCTTGGTTCTGCTCAGGACAACACACAAATGACAAAGGGCTGAGACATCCCAGCAAATTAGAATGAAAAAGAATTGCTCACATTCCCCACTGAAAGCAGCAGTAAAATCTCACGTTTAATGAGTAAAATTCCAACTATTCATTGCCCATTATAATTGACACTAATGAAAAGCTGCCATGACCTCTTGACCATCTGGCTCCTATTTCTCTCACAGCAAGGGTTCACCTTCCTCCAGGAGGAAAGATGGAGGGTCTGGACCACTCCAGCTCCATCCCATCCAGGCCCCTCTGCACCACGGCACCCAGCCCCGAGCTGCAGCTGCGTGAGTGTTTTAAAGGGCCTGGATAGAGGGAAGGAGATGCTTTTGAGGAATACCAACCCCTGAAACACCTGCCTTTGTAGCTGCTAGCTCTTGCTGGTGGTCTGGCCAGGCTGTTCGCGGTGTGATGGGTACATCGTGTGGCCAGAAAGGAGAAGTGCAACTTCTATTTGACCTCTTGGGCTAAATCCTGCCTCTTGGTCCAACTAAGCAACCAAGTGGTAAATAACTCGAATTGCCCAGCTGCTACCACTGGGATTCATTGCTCTACACTTCTAAGTTGACACTGAAATACATGTCATTCCAGTTTTCCCTCTGTTCTTCATTAATCCTGGCTTACATGTCATATTTTTAGGGGCTTCTCCAAAATCATGAAGAAAAAGCAGCAGCTACCTTTATTAGGAAATATTCAGTAATAGTGCAATAGTTGCCATGATGATCTAGAAGAGTGCTGGAAGGTTCGCAGGCTTTTGGTAAGTCTTCTTAGGGCCTTAAAAAGAAGCTAAAGCAACATGGCTGAGCTTGAACCTGCTTATTTAGACATTACTAGAGCAGCTGTCCAGCTGAATGACTGGAATCCTTAGGGGCCTGCTGTAGGTCCAGGACCGTAAGTAGCTGATTAGTGACACCAATGTTGGAACAGAGAAAATCTGCAGGTCCCACCTGGAGAAGGTCTGGGAAAATGGAAAAGGGTAGGGCTGAAATCCATAGCAACATCAGAAAAATTGAGAGTGAGTCTGGGAAACAGAGGCTGCAAAGAATTAGTCAAGATAAGAGTGATTAACTGCACTAACACTTGTGGGAAATGGTAGGTTAAGGAGCAGGAGCAGGAAGCTGTGGGCAGTCAGAAGCAGGAGTCCATGCCCTGTGCTGTGAATAAGGCAGATACTGTACCAGGGTGTGTAAGTCTGGGCTACCACATCAGTTCTGCTTAATCATAGCCAAGCCCATGCTGGAGTTTTGGACCAGTGTTAAACTTCAAAGAAATGTGGCCCAAAGAGTGAAAATCAAGAGGAGAACAAGAATAGTCCAAGACTTGGAAATCCTGGAAAGAAAAGGGTTGTTAGCCACAAGAAGAGAAGGACAAACACCTGCAAACACCTTTCAGAGAGGGGTTAGCAAACAGATTCCCGAGCAGTTTGTAAAAAGATGAATTAATATTGCTCTGAATGCTCTGGGAACAAGTAGGTTGGGTCCAAGCCCTGAATTTGCTGACATCTCATCCATCCCAGACATTTGCATTGCGAGACTGAAACTTGATGCTGAAGATAGTGCAGATGCCCTGCAAGAACATATGGTGCACCTCCAGGCTTCAGGTTTCGTGGTAGTGTTGACTGTCTGGCTTGTAGCTTGAAACCATTCAAGGCAGAAAGAAATAACAAATCAATGTGCCAAAAGCTCTGGATAACAGCAGGTCACCAGTTATGGGCATATTAAAACTCTGGATACATACAGCTGGTGTTCATGATGGATCCAGTTCCGTACAAACCCGATGGATATTCCCACCAAGAAGGTAGCTTCTCATGTACCAGAAAATACACTGCTTTCAAATCTGATCATCATAAGCAAGTCTAGTTCACGTCATAAGTAGGGGGATTACTGCTGAACTGTTGCGTTCACAGATGCAGAGAAACCATTTGTCTGCAAAAACCGAAGTCTGAAAGAATCCCGAGGTCCCAAATCAGCAAGAAAATATCCATGCTAGTCTTTGCCAGCCTTGAGTGAATTTGGGTGGGAGTTTGACTGACCCTGTATTATAGATCAAATAAGCCAGTTTCTCTTCAGCAGGGTTCCTAACAAAGAGGGCCAGATGCCAGCAGAATAAAGTCGGTATTGTTTCCCTGAATTTTTTTAATCATCTCTCCTTTAGACCATCAGTTGGTTCCCCCCCTTGTTTATTGACACCCACTCAGCGTGAGCCCAAGGAGAGAGAGGGGAAAGATTTTGCGGCTCCTTTGGCTGTTCTCGTAGACATCCTGGCACTTGTTTGATCGGGGGCGGAACAGGACACGAACCTTTCCTGCCGGGGCCGAGACCGCAGCCGGGTGCTATTCAGCTCCCAGAACAATGTCTGGCAGCTTGCGAGTAATTCAAACCCGGCTAAAAACAGCCGAGCCTGGGGATGAATCATGACCCATCCGTGTGTGCTTCCGCCTTCCCACTCGCCTGCATCAGCACGGCCCCTACTGGCTCCCTGGAGAATAAGCAATAAACAACATTTTAAAGGGCTTTTCCTTCACAAGGGCTTTGCCTGTGTGAATTCCAAAAAAAAAAGCCAGCTCTCCAAAGTCTTGCGTCCGAAGCAGAGGGATGTGCAGCCCACCCGGAAGACCTGCTGCAACGGTCATCAAAGAGACCCCAAATATAGAAATACTGCACAGGAACAGAGGTGATCTGGGCTTTTTTTTGGCTGTGAGTTCTCCTGAGAGCGCCCACCATGTTATACTGCAGCATTACAGCTCTGCTTCGGGAAGCAACCCTGAAAAAGGTATTCCCACTGTGTTTCTCAAGGGAGAAAAAGCAAGAACCTCCAGGACGTAAATGGGGTTGGCTCCGTTGAGTTCAACAGGCCACAGCCACTGGGAATCTGGACTATAACACAGGGGTGGCAGAGCTGGAACATGCTGCAGAACCAAGGAGTGTGACTCTTTGGTCCTTCTGGGCTTAAAGCTGGGAACAATGTTGTCCAAAAAGCGCTTTATCAGTTAACTGACATGTAGGAAATTTCAGCGTTATCTAGGAAATAGATAAGCTATTCCTAGATATCTAGGAAAGCTGCAGAGCAGGTGACAAAAACAAAATCCAGAATCAGCCTATGGCCAGCAACAAGGGGAAAGGTTAGTATTTTCTCTGGGATACGGAAACATGTCTGCTCCACCCACCAAAGAAGGGTCTGGCCAGGTACAATCCCCAGAGCAGCCTGCTTTAAAGTGTGGCACCAGGATCTTCCCAGAAAGCCGCCCCAAGGGCAGGGCATGGCCGGCATCCCACAGGGATCCTTGAGACAGACCCCCTTGGGGGGGGGGGGTGTCCTCCGCTACCCCGGTGGGAGGTCTTGCACCGGGACCTCCTCCTGGAGCAGTGCTCGGAGGATGCCGGGATTTGTTCGCCCGTGGCTCGCGCAGTGCCAATTTTAGCGGTTTCCCACCCCCGAAGCAGCGCGGAAATGTCCGGGAAGGTCGATATGTGGGATACGAGTAAACACCCCGGAGTTGAGACAAGCAACCTCAAGGGCGTCCCGGGAGACGCTCCTCAGGTCCCCGGTGACAAGGGGACCGCGAGCGAGGCCGGGATTGGGATCGGGCCGGGACGTGGCCGGGGCAGGGGGCGTGGCCTGGTCGACGGGGGGCGTGGCCTCGTCGTGTCGGCCTCGCCCCTCCCGCGAGCGGGGTCAGCACCGGCCGAGGGGCGGGGCCGCCCCTCGCGCTGCGCTCCCATTGGCCGCCGGGGCAGCGGGGGCGCTCGCGCCTGCACCACCCGGCGCTCCCATTGGCTGCGCGCGCGGAGGGGGCGGGGCGCGGCCGTCGCTCGGTGAGTGAGGGACGGGGCGCGGCCTGAGGGGCGTCCCGGGGGCGATCCCGGGGGTCCCGGGAGACTTTCCCTTGGGAATCCCGGCACCCGGCAGCGCCGGGCACCCCGGGCGTGCGCCGCCTCCTCGGTGTCGTTGCCGTGATTTCTTGTCTTTTTGGTTAATTGCCGGGTTTTTTCGCAGCCGCGGGAAGGCTTCTCGGGCAGAGAGGAAAGGAGCGGAAAATCCCAAACCGCGGATCCCGCGGGATCTGAGAGGCCAGAGCGGTGTGGGTTTGTCTCAGAAAACAAGCCCCCAAAATGCTCCCCAGCCAAAGCGGAGCTGGCGGGAGGCGGAAATTCCATCAGCATCCGCTGCGCTCGCCGAATTCCATGAGCCAGGCGAGACCCGCGGGCGGTGGGAGCCGCTCCATGGGATAGAGCCCTCCTTGTCCGCCGGGAATTTTGTGGCGCCCTGGGGCCGGCAGGGCCCTCCTGGCGGCGTGGAAAAGCTCAGGGATTGCCTTTCAGGAGAGATCCCTGCGGACCTCCCCTGTTGGAATGAATGAAACAGCGACTTGTCTTCACCTCTTATCTAAAAACACGCCCGCGGGTCCTGTTTCTGTGTCGCTGCCGAGACAATTGAGGGCTCGGGTGTAGCTGGGGTTTTTTTGGCTGTTTTCCCGTGCGTTTGAGGCCAGTGGAAAGTCTCCACCGTGCCCAAAGCTGTGGTCGTGCATCCCTCTTCAGTCCTGCCCGAGGATTTGGGATTCCTTCTTCCTGCCCTGAGGGTTGATCTTGGTGCGTCGCTGCCGCTGAATTTTTGTGGGTTTGTTGGAAAATGGTGAGAAACTTTGTTTTCTAGTCGTTTGTGTAGTTGAGAGTTGCACGTCGTGGCAGCAGCACGTTCACTTTGCTGTTAAATGTGACTTTTTGCCTGATTGTTCTGTGTGTGGGATGTGTGTGACATCCCCATCTCCTATGCATCCAGGTGTGGTTCTGTATCCTGCTCTCCCTGAAGTTAATTGAAATCGTCTGCCTGAATTAGAGACTTTTGAAAATGCAGTGAGATCCCTGGTGTCCCTTTAAATACCCTTACAAATCCTGAAATAAGCAGATTTACTCTCGCCCCTGTGTACTGGCAGGTTTCCTGGTTTCTCTTTAGCTTCCAATTAGCTTCTGGAGATTTAATGGACCTGTGAACCAGCACTTGCTCTTTTTTTTAAAGACCAGTGGCATCACAGAAATGTAAATCACTGCATGCTGTCTCCACAAGATAACAAATGATCTTAAGTTCAGAATATTCAACCTTTTCCTCCTCCACACAGTTACAAAAATAACAGATGGGTCGCGACCTGCAGGTTTTATTTTATGTTTGCTTAACACTTGCTTTTCAGATTTAAGATCAAGCTTGTATGTGGTTTTTTATAGTTGTTAAAACAATTTGGCTGACACCTGACTCGGGCCACTAAATCCGATGGAGATAAAGATGTCCAACATCACTTTGAACTCAACGTGGCTTCTTCTTAAAGAATCTTTATTTTAAAAATAAAGAGGTCCTGAGGTCGATGGTTAATTACTGCACATGCACTTTGAAACTTTACAAGCTGCTTTGATGCCTTTTTAGGCTTTTCTTTCTTTTATATATATATTTTTAAATCACTACCCACCACAGGGGTAGGTTTATTGATTTCATTTATTTCAGTGACCCCACATTTTTGTTTGGATATACAGCCTTTCTGGGGGCAGAAGGAGAGTGGTGCTGTCGATTATGATAACACGACGTGCGTGGGGTTGTGTTTGGTAGCAGTTAAGCAATGGAGTGGGAAATTCCAGGTGTGTGGGGCTGAGGGAGAGGGCTGGCAGAGCCCAGCCTCGTCCTCCCCGCAGCTGCTGCCGTGCTGAATTTAGCTGCCGGCCCTTGGGAAGGGGGCAGGCAGCTGCAGAGCTGTCTGTGTGGGGATTTGGTCTCCCCTGGAGACCCGGCGCGTCGTCCCGCCGCTCTTTGTTCCCGTGCACACGGGCTCTGCCCGTGGGAAAACCCCGCTTGTCAGAGGGGGGGGATCGTAAAACTTGTGACAAAAGAGCTGAGTGAGTATCAGCTTGTCTCCCACTTCCAAGTATCGTTTGGGAATTCTTTCTTTCCTCCTTTTTTTTTTTTTTTTTTTTTTTTTTAACAGTTCTTTGTAGTTTGTTGTTGCTGCTCCCTTGGCCTCTCGGTTGGCACTGGCTGGGTGAGTCCCAGCAAAACCACCCTGCCGGCGTTGCCCTACTGGTTTGGGCTGGAATTGCTCTAAGAGGCCGTATTGGGTCTCCTTGATTTGGCTTATGAGTTGTCCTGCAGCAGCTCCTCACTCAAGCCCAGCGTGGGGAGCAGGAGGGGGGAGTGGAGCATCTCCATGCGTGGAGCATCCAGAGCTCAGGCTTTGAGTGGAATACCTCAGGTTAGAAGGTTTTGCAGCAAGGTGCACTGAGCTTGGCTGTACAGCACATGGGAAAATGTCATCAGCCGAGAAAGTAGTTCCATTGATTAATTTCACAAAGAATTAATTTCCTGAATTGAGGTAGAAGCTGCAGGTTTGAGTTTTACAGCCTCCTGCCTCCCACTCTGACATTTTATATCTACTTGCTTCTGGGTGGCTTCCATTTCGAGGTTTTGAATCTTTTGTGTCTTTAAAAAACCCTCAACTCTCCACCCCAACAGCCCCCAGGGCTCAGCCACACTCGTAGGTGCTTTATGTCCCAGTTAAGGATGTCTCATTTGGGCCCAGTGACCTCATGGTGCACAAACTGTTGGCGAAATTTGCCATTAATTCAGGATTCTGGTTCCACTCTGCCAGAACAAACCCAAGTGAGTTCTCGATGTGGCCAGGGCTTTAGTTAGATTTTCCCTGTGTGTGTCACATCCTTGAAACCTGGTAATGCTGCTGAGATGTGAGGGTTTGCTCTTTCCTCTGTCCCACTTGACACACCAAGATGCTCCTTTATGGAGCATGACCCAGATCATGCTTGAGCTCTTCGTTATTAGGGGCAAACCCAGTTTCTTTACTTGCTGTGGAGATGAGGGGGGATGATGAGTTGCCCTTACTGTGTGCTGTGTGTTCCAGAGAGCCCGAGGCTCGGTGTCCTCTTGCAGAAGAAGTTCTATCCTAATGGCTGTGGACGTGGGAAAATCCCTTTCTGAAGCCTCTCTGAGCGGGAATGCCGAGGACGATGGTAGTTGGGACTGCACAGAGGTGGATGTGGATGTGGACAGCCTGGAACTGACAGACAGCCTGCACAGGCTCTCAGGGGCAGAGGAAGCCAAGCCCAGCCCGCAAGGGATGGATGTGGCAATGAGCAGACACGGTCACTTGGCCACTGGTGTCACTCAGGGAGACTCCAGCTGCCATCCAGCAGTGTCTTCAGCATCTGCACACGGATTTTTCAGAGCAAGAGCAAACCTTTCAGAGAAAGAGACGCTGGTTTGTCGAGGTGCTGCTGGTGGTGACGTGCCTCCTCGTGTCAGCCACTGGTCCCTCTCCTCAGAAGAGCAGCAGGTGAGAGGGTTGTGTGTGCAGGTGTTGCTGCACCACCAGGAGGTCCCAGGCGAGGTGGGGACTTGTTTGCCAGGGCTGTCCTAGCAAGGGCTTTCCATCTCTTCCTGCTGGAGTGTGCCCACCCCTGCCCAGGCTAGGATGTGTGGTGGGAAAAGGCTGGGGCTCCAACACCCAAGTTGTTGCTTCCATTCCCATATTGCCACCGCAGAGCTGGAAAGTCGCTCAGGGCAGTGCTCCTTAAATAAATGCCTCTTGCTGCCAAATGACTCCTGCAGCTTCCCAAGCCCTCAAGATGCCTTTCCTTAAGATCAAGCCCCACTCTGGGCTCTGAGCAGCTGCAGGCTGTCCCACAGATGGCACAGAGCTCCACTTCCAGCCTCAGCTCATGGCAGGTCCGGGGCTGGGCATTTATCTCCATATCCTGGATATGTGTGGATGTCTTTGTCTGGTTACTTTGCTTCATTTTATGCATATCTCTCTCTCCCTTTCCTTTTCCACCCTGTCCTTGAGCAGGTGAAGCCATCGGGCTGTTGGGATCCGGCATCCAGCCCTCCCAGCCGGCGCAGCTCTGCAGAGGAGAACGTCCTTCCTGACAGCTGCCACGATGCCCCTGTTGGCCATCGGAGACAAAGTCTGGGAGCCCAATCCTCATCTCCCTCCACCCGAGAGCTCCTGCAGCCCCAAACCCCCCCCAGCCCAGAGAGCGCCCTGCGGAGCCGCTCCATGTTGAGCCTCTCCGCTCTGTCTTTGGGAAGGAGCGGCCTCTCCGAGGAGCCATCGGGAAGCTTGCCAGCCAGCATGGATGTCCCTTCTCCAGCAGCCACCATGGCCACCAGGGACCTGTGGTGCCGACAGGGAGCAGCAGAAGGCAGGGCCCTGCAGGCGCCTTTCCTCGATTGCCACGCCACCGTGGAGCGCATCCGGGAGGTCTCCTCCTACCAGTCCGATTACTGGGCCTGTGCCATCCCAGATTCCTTACCCCCGTCTCCAGACCGTTGCTCGCCCCACTGGAACCCCAACAAAGAATATGAGGACTTGCTGGATTATGCTTATCCGCTGAAGCCGAGGTACAAGCTGGGAAGGATGCCAGAGCCTGTCCTCCATGACTCAGGAGTCGGCCTGGACAGCTTTTCTGCTTCTCCTGAGGGCACGCTGAGGTCCACCAGCATCTACGGCCCCCGAGGTGGGCAGGCTCAGGGAAGCAGAGAAAATGGACGTTGGGAATTGGTGGCCTCTGCAGAGAGATTCTCCACCCCAGGGCCTGGAGAAAGAGGCTGCCCAGGAGCCGGATTGTTCTATGAACCTTCACCTATTGCCAAAGCATCCTTTGCAAGAAGCACTTCCTCTCGTCCTTCCAGAGGTTTTGCTAAGGATGTAAGAATGGAGTCAGGTGGGCCAAGTTCACCTGGGCACCCTGCTGTGGATGGGAGGAGCTGGTGTTCCAGAGGGAGCCCTTTCCCAAACCTCACAGGGGAGGCAAAAACCACTGCTAGGTTTTTACCTATCACAGGTGTGCTCCCCCTGAGAAAGGAGTGGGAAGGGGATGAAGAATTTCTTTCCCTGCCTCCAAGACTGCAGGAGCTGGAAAGGCTGGCTCATTTTCTCTCCAGTCTTTCCTTAACTGTAAGGACGCCCAGGCATGACCACCATAACCTGCCACGTCACAGGCAGCCCCTTTCATCTGGGCTGGCTCCTTTTGGAGAAGCGAGTGGCAGGGACAAAAGAGGGAACACTGAGGGTTATGCTGGGCTGTGGCAGCCCTGCAGCTCTCGAAAGCCCAGCTGGGAAAACACAGAATCGTGTGGCTGGATCCATAGGGATCCCCTCCGGGGGCTTCATCTACCGACCGGTCTCAGGGACACGTTGGATGGGATGTACCGAAATGAGCCACGGGTCAGGGGACATCCAATGAAGAGCCAGCAGAGCGAGTCCCTTGTCCAGTGTGTCAAGGTAGGCTGAGACCAGAAATAAAGTTTATTGTGGGAAGATCTCACATAAAACGTGCCTGGTCTTTATGGCACAATTAATTAAGGCTTCCTGTGCTGCATGATGTTGTGCTGCCTGGCAGCTGGTACTAATTTATGCAGGGGGGGATCACCAGAGCAGATAATTCCTTCTGATGGAGCAAGAGCCTGTCTTGCTTTTCCTGGGGCTCAGTATCACAGGGCCAGGCTCGGTGGAGATGTGACTCTCAGCTTCCCCCCATCCCCCTGCAGTGCTGCTGCACCAGGGAAGAGGCAGGAGCTGCAGCAACTGAGGAGTTGCCCAATTATTTTGAGAATTTTTATAATTAGAGTAAATGATGTCTCATGGCCATCCTGCCACCAGTGCTCTGCTCCCTGGCAAGCAGGCATTGCTCCCCACCTTCCTCTCCATCTTCTTCCCCACCCCAGTGCTGGGATGGATTTGGAAGTGATGCTGGGCTGTTTGCAGGAGTGTAATGATTATCACTCACATAGCTGCAAACTCATCCCCTCCTCCTGTATGGGAATAACTCTGCTGATTTATAAGGGTCTTTTCTGTATCTGTCACCCCAGACTGCCAGGGAAAAGCAGCTCAGCTTTATGGCAAACCCCTGATGAGCAGGAACAGGACTTGAGTCTGGTTTCAGTGCCAGGAGAGGCCCCTGGGTTTCATGCAGCATCTTACAAAAATAATCCCTTACCGAGACGCTTTAAAAATAAATGAAAGCGCTTAATTGAACGAGACAAACCCCTGGGGAAAAGCAACTGCAAATTAACTGCACAGCTCCAGTGAGGAGGAGGAGGAGGAGGAGGAGGGTGTCTCCTGGGCTGCGAGGTGGCAGAGGCCAACCTCTTCCTTCCGCCTGGGTGCTACCAGCTTCCAGCACCTCTCCATGCAGCCATTTCATGGTGACCCTCAATTCTTGCCACACAGTGACTTTTCTCCGTTGCAGCAATAGATCTGTGACCCCTTTTTTGTGCTTTGTTGAGTAGGTGTTTTGCTGCCAGCTGGAGGAGCTGATCCGTTGGCTGTACGACGTGGCCGATGTCACCGGCAGCTGGGTGCCCCCCTCGCCGGATGCCGGGAGCGTGACAGCATCGCTGCACCGCTACCTGGTGGGTACTGGCTTTGCTTCCCCCTCTCCAGTGGGAAGCAAGGCACCTCTGGAACGGTCCAGGGTGCATTGGGTTTGCAAAGACAAATTTGGGAGTGCCAGGAACCTGCTCAGGGGAAACTGCTCCCTGGGCGACCTGTGTCTATTCCAAAAACCCTTTTAAGCGATGCTGCTCCTCTCTTTTCCTTGCCAGGAGTTCAGGAAGGACGTGGCCAACCACCGGAGCCTGACGGAGAGCGTGCTGGAGAGGGGAGAAGCTCTCCTGGACTGCATGGCATCAAATTCCCCGGGTGAGGAGGGAGTGCTTGAGTGGGGCTGGTCATGAACGCAGCTGGTGATGCTTGTATAGCATCTGCCCCCCAAAATTCCTGGCCCCACATGTCTGGGGATGGGTCAGCAGTGGGAAGGAAAAGGGTTTTACACCTCTGTTGCTGCCCTGAGACCTGGAGGTGAGGTGGAGGTTTGAAGCCATTACTCCCAAGTGCTTTGGCTGCACTGTGCCTTGACCCTGGCCTTGGGCCCTGCCATCCATCAAGGGTGATGGATGTTCCTGCCTCTTAGGGGTCCTCTAGGCTATCCCAGTGGCAGCATGGCCAGCTCCCACTGGGCTGTGGATGGAGCTGGGAGGAGATGCTGTTTTCCAGGGCAGGAGAGAGTGATTTTAACACCCCATTTGCACTCGGTGCATCCTGTGCTGGTGTCAGCAGCCAGTCTGGGGGCACAGCCCAGCCAGACTGTGTGGAGTAGTTTCTCTGGTAACTTGGTGCATCCTGCACAAGGCTCTCTAAAGGGTGGGCTGTACCTGCAGTCACCAAAGGGGCTTTAGAGGCCGAGTGCTGTGTTATGGATGGGCTTTCTTACCCAGTCCCAAAGGTTTCCCTTATTTCTGCATCTCCATTAACCTGGAGCTTCCTAAGTTGCTCCCCACCCCCTCCAAACTCTGCATCACAATGTTGACAGGGTGAACATCAGATTATTGATTTCTAACACTCCATTTCCTTCAAAAGCTCTGCCTGGGTGAGCAGAACTCTCTCTTTCTGCTCTTACAGACACTGAATTACCACATTACTACCACCTCCATTCATGTTTTTTGTTTTCCAGCTCTGAAAGACACGCTGGGTTTGATTGCAAAGCAGTCGGAAGAGCTGGAAAGCCACGCAGAGCACCTGTACAAGTCCATTCTTGCTGCTGTGGGTCCTGTGCAGGGCAAGGACGAGGTGGATCAGGAGGGAGATGCAGCACAAAGCTGCCCCGTGGGTAAGCAGGGGGGCAAACCAGCCTTTCTGCAGTGGGGGAAGAGGGAAGGAAACGTAGGGAGAGAAACACTTAAATTAGCACGTCAGGGTTTATTGTTATTTCTTTGAATGTGATGTTTGGAAAGCAAGGGAGGTCTCAAAATGGATGCCCCATCACCTTTAACTGGGCAGCTCCTTGGAGGGACCCGGCAGGGAGGGCTGGGGGGACAGCAGCAGCAGCAGCAGCAGCAGCAGCAGCAGCAGCAGAGGGAAGATGAGGAAGGGGTATTTTTTGGCTTTGAGTTTTCTCAGAAACATTGTGGTTGCCATATAATGGTGGGAAAGGGAAGCAAGCGAATTTAGGTGTGAAATAGGGGCTACAAAACTTGTTTGATGATTTCTTGACTGTCTTCCTTCAAATAGAACTGGAGAGACAAGTGTTTCAGGAGTGTCAGCCTCTCACAACAGGATAATATCTTAAGTAGTGTTTGTTTTCTGTTTTTTTTTTAATTGATACCTATACCCAGCTGTACCCTATACACTGTGGGAGTAGCCAAAGAAGGTTTTTCTCTGTTTAACTGCAGCCAAAGTACAGTAACAAACACCCCCTTTTATTTCAGATGATGCTGCCTCTGTCAGACCTGGACTTCGTTAGCCCGTTGTGGGAGGGCTGAGAAGAACTGCAGCAAGCACCAAACCACCTCCATCACCACTTGCTGCAGAGATGCCAAAATGTGTTCAGTGAGCCCACCAGGGCTTGAGAAAGGTGTGTTGTACAGCAGGTACTCTGCTGCTGGGACGTCTGGAGTCGTGTAAGGAATGTACAGCTGGCCTTTTTCTGGTTTGTTTTTTTAACATAGCTTTCCTTTCTTTATTGAAGTGGCCTGTTCCATGTGTTAGCAGAATGTCAGGAACAGAGTTTTTTAACTGAGTAATCCATAGTGTTGCCATGCAGCTCCCTGCCAAGTAAAGCCGTGTGATTTTAATAGCCCCGTTCTCATGTTTTGTTTATGCTCGTCAAAAATAGGTGCCAGAAGCCAAGAAATAGCAACTCCTTCTGGTTCTTGGGAGCAAACTGAAGGTCTATTTATATTTACCACTCCCTGCTGAAGCAGAGCCTGTTTAACTTTCAATTTTCTTATGCATAAACACAAGCCGAAAGAGCGAATCTCAATAAAATAATAAACAGGCGATGGAGAACCAGGTTCTGTATAATCTGGTGTCACCAACTGTTGTTGGCTGTAGCTGTGTTGGTGCTGTGCTGGTTTCCCCTCTTACAGCTACTGCAGTTAACCACTGCTCACATCTCTGAAGCAGCACAACAAGGTAAGTGGCCAAACAAAGTTACAGCATGTTGGTACTCGGCTTTAATTAACCTTTAAACTAAATGCTGAGCGTGGTTTTCTTGTGCAGAAAGCATCACTTCTTCCCATTCCTGAGAACACAACACAGTCAAGTTTATGTTCTGCACAAGTAGAAGGTAAAAGCACAGGTAAACTGAAGCACCTACAACAAATAATTCATTGGAGTTTTTGGGGTTTTTTGGATACTCTCCCATCTTCTGTGTCCTAAGCCTCACAGGCAATTTTTTTTTGACCCATTATGTCAAAAGTATTTAGTATTTCAGCTCATGGGTAAGAGACTACAGTGCCCTTTTCCAGGACTCTCAGGCCTGCTCTGCCCTCACACCTCAGCCTGAAAACCACAAGCTTCAGCAGCACCAGCAAAGTCATGACTGAGGGGGGGAACAAATAACCACCAAACACCTGGTGTAGCCCAAGTTGGTTTTGCAATGCTTTTATTACTGTATATATTAACATTGGTTTGGATAGTATGTAGCAGGCATCTCGACATTGAAGTTCATTTGTGCACTCTCTGAAGGGAAGATGTTTCACCCTCAACACAACCTCCTTCTGCTTCGCTTCCTGATCTGGGCAGCACTCGCTGCTGCTCCTGCTCTCGAGGAGCAGCCACTCACATTTATAATGAATTATACCAACAAGCACATCTCTACTAGAAAGCACATCACTTTATTGTGAAGGTCTCAAGTGGAAGAGTTCAACTTAACCATGACAATACTTTATGTATTACAATTGCCTGTTGATTTATGCAACTATGTTGAAGAAAGCTGTTAGCCAAAGTCACCCCCCCCCCAAAAAAAAAAAAAAAAAATCAGAGGATATTTGCACCAGTTTTAGTTTATACCTCACAACATACCTAGGCTATATTTTTACTATCACAGGGTGTATTTACTACTAGGGGAATGTTACATGGTCTTTCAAACATGAGACTATTTACAGAATAGGCTGAACATTTGAGTTTAGATAAAGCTGAACAATTTTACATGTATAGGAAGTGTTATAGGCTAGCTTTCCTGTGGCTTTTAGCTAGACATCAGGCACTAATGATTTGATTAGCTCTGTACAAAGAATCACACACCATCCAAAACCTCTTGGCTGCTGGTTAGTTCCAAATTATTTGAGATAGCGCCTACTTTGAGCAACAGTCTGGTGGGGGGGCCCTGCTGCCCCCATGTCATCCTCCTGGTGCCTCGCTGCAGAACAGAATAGAAGCTAAGCTGTTGCACTAAGTCAGAAGAGTATTGATTAAAAGAGGATGGAATTAACAGTATATAGAAAAGACATAATATACTGGTAGAAAGTTACACCTCCTCCAGGTTACACTGAAATCACTCGTGTTAGGGAAATACTGTTCTCTCCCCTACTACGCAAAGCTGTCGGGAATCCCCTAAGTGGAGTCCTTGAGAAATAAATTAAGTTCCAAGACTAAGTTAGGGAACTGTTGTACATTCAGAGTGCATTATGCCTCCATGAACATTGGCTGGGTGTTTCTAGTACAGCACACGTGCCTTAAGCACCACGACAGCTCAGGCTTTGGGGCCACAGCCACTGGTTTGAGTTGCAGGGAAGGTCTCTGGTCTATCAGGAGGTCTGAGAGCCATGGCTGCACACACAGATATGTTTTGTGCACAATGCAAGCCTGATTTCCCCCTTAGCCATACAAATTAAGACAATATTTATCACCATACAGTTTGATATTACTTCCAATAAGTACAATATTTATTAAACATTTCTTCAGTTTTGTTACATATTGTGCAACAAATTACAATATTCTGCAGCCACAAATTATATGCAGAGTATGAAGAAACTATTAATCAGATAGTGTGATCTCTCCATTTATAATTCTACAAGAAGGAACTAGCAAATCAGATCTTACATATATCTTACTAAATTTTATGCATGGAAAGTGACAGACACTGTTGTGCTGTTTGATACAAAATGGCTAAACTTCATCTTCAGAAGACTAAACCTGACATCTAAACATGCCAATAGAAACATCAAAACAAAAATACATCCTAACCAACCACAGGAAACAGTCTGGTATCAGGAAAAGCAACAAGGATTACACGTTTATAAACCAGCACACAAAGGTTTAAAACAGTTCTGAAAATGAAGTTAGCTGTCTTGAGTCAAGGGAATAAAAAAAGTCAGTATTGACCATTTACAATCTCTGACCTTTGTGGAGACGGTAAGAATCTGTTGTAGTGCAGCTACATACAGTACAATTCAGGCAATTTTTTTTTTTTCACTTGGGTTCAGATTGCAAATTCATTGTTGTGAGACAAAAGGGGGGAGGCAAGTTTTAGCAGCAACCTCCACTAGACTGCTTGACTGGAGTGCTCTGAATTTTAACATTGGACTTCTCTGCACCACCAGCTGTCGCTCCCGGGCCCATTCGTTTTTTAATCTCAGCAGCCATGGTCATGAAAGACTGTTCTACATTTGTGGCATTCTTTGCACTGGTTTCCAAAAAGGGAATTCCAAGAGAATCTGCAAATTCCTGCAAATTGAGAAACAGTGAACAGTAAGCTCATACACAGGTTCACAGCTCACCTCCTTTCCTGGTGCACTGCCGGATAAGCCACAAGTTCCTGGATTCCACCCCACCCCCCATCTCCAGTCTGACCTGCAGGGCAGGGGGTCATTAAACTGCCCCCAGTTGTGTCACCCTGACACCCACGTACCACAGCACTTCCCTGCTCTAGCAGCTCTGTGCATTATGAACCAAAGCAGGTGCTCACCAAGCAAACACAGCTGTTTGTATCCACATACCTTTGCTGTTGTATAGTCTACTACTTTCTTTGTGGTCAGATCACATTTGTTCCCCACCAACAACTTGTTGACGTTTTCACTGGCATAACGGTCTATCTCCTGCAGCCACTGCTTTACATTATTGAAAGACTCCTGTGAGATAAGAGAACTGTAAGCAAGGCCCTGGGAGAGGGAAGTTCAGCACTTTGGTAATGACCAGGAAAGAACAGGAAGCGGTGCCCTGACCAATGTGATTCACAACCACGGGAGAGAACTCTCTAATGCTGCCATCCCTGATGGCCTCAGGACAGCCCAGTCACCACATGGTCTACACAGCTCTTGCTCCAAGCCCTACACAATCAGCCCTTCCTGCACTCCTCCTCCCCTATTATTTTCCCAGCTCCATATCTTGAATATTCAAGAGCTTCTACCATCTGGGACTCTTCTTCCTCTTCCTGTAGCAGAGATAAGAGACACAGCACACAGCTGAAACCAGAAGAATCCCACAAATTTACAAAGCACCAGGTATCAGGTGCAAACCACCTTGTTGTAGATGTGCTGGAACAACCTTTGACTGCAGAAATGCCGGATCAATATTCCAGTTAGCAACTGAACACAATTGTTCTTTTTCTATTAATGAAGGAAACCCTACACTTCCCAAGTGCCCTTCCAACAGGACAACTGCACCAGTAATCTTCAGAGATCCTTTCACAGAAAACACTGGCTCAGTTGTGTCCTACACACATGCTGACAATTTTCTGTTCCCAATGCCCATTTTTACTGAACACCAAAGTTCAAGTACATTCAGAAATCTTTCAACAACTTCCATCAGTAACTCAGGCTTCCTGCTACCAAAGGCAGGGTGAGAAGTATTCACACAGAACAATCAGTTACCTGCTCAGCAAGTTTGAGGTTAAGCCTAAAGTACAACTGTTTTAGAGCCACAAATCCCACTGCTCCTTTTATTTCTGTGTTCAGCCCCAAACCCTGCATAGGAACATATACACTCGGCTTGATAAACCTCAGTGCAGCCTGGAGAACTGCGCCACTGTCTCCTTAAGACGTGCTCAGTTGTTAAATTCCTGGGTTTATTTACTTATCAGCCTGGAGAAACTCTCCAGGCACAGGTTTTAACACTTACCTGATCTGTAACATCATACACAACTATGATGCCATGAGCTCCTCTATAGTAACTGGAAGTGATAGTCCGAAACCTCTCCTGTCCCGCCGTGTCCCACTACAAGACAAGTAACAGGGTCAGTCACCGCAGTGTGGCTGTGCCAGAGTTACACAGCAGCTTCCAGCAACACAGCTCAGAGGATCAGCCACCCAACTACAACCACATCCAAGTCACAGCTGCAGAAGTGGCTCTGAAACTGCGTGCATCCAACAGGATTTGAGGAGATCAAGTATTTTAGCTGAGAATTGCACCTGGGTAGCCACTTTTCTCAAGCGCTCATTTCCTTGGTTTCAGCCAAGGGTGGCCAGGAGATCTCTCAGAGGAGAACATGAAGCAGTTTTAACCCATGAAGAAGCCATGGTTCAGTGCTCAGAAGAACAAACACAAACCAGGGCTTGGTTAGAAAGAAGGTCGGAGCTGCAGGTCTCCAACGTGACCGCTCCCTGCAACTTCCTTGGCACAGGAGCTCCAGCAAAAGTATTTAAAGGCAACAACTCGAACCAAACCCAGTTCTCTTCTCCTGCTGTGAGACTTAAGGAGGGATATTAGGTGCTTGACCTCTTCCCCCACCCAGGACAGGAACAGCACTTGCCCAAACAGCTCCCTGGAGCCGTGTCAAGAATAGGGCTGGCTGCATGTTAGAAACAGTCAGACTCAGACTAATTCAACAGTGACAGCGTTCCTAGTGGGCTGCTC